CGTGGGGCTACCTGCTCAACGGGGAGTCTACTTCTCCTTCTGCTGTTCCCCCTGTCATGCTCTTTTTCTCTCTTTCTCTCTCTCTCAAATAAACAAATAAAATCTTAAAAAAAAGGGGGGGTAAAGGAGAAAAGAAGTAGGAAATCCCCTCAACAGTTTTATTTAGAAAAAAAAATCACACCTATCCTACCCTCATGGTGATAAGTAAAAATAATAATGCAGGAGCAGCACTTGGTGGAGACATTTTTAAGCACATTTTAAACTAGATTATTAAAATTCACAGCATCAAGTACAAGAGCACGGAACATAATTTACTCCATTTATACTCACTACTGCACACCTAAATGATTTTTATACGCCATGCTGCTGCTTCTTAGGTGGCTTAGTGGTTATTGCGGATCATGAACCCCACCCTTTTGATCAGATAAAGCTAAAATATGATGATGTAGGGGGAAAAAAAAACCCTTATATTCATCAGCCAGTGTTTAGAAGGATTTATAAGACACAAAATATCCAAAATGGAAATCTATCAGACTCTTTAATAAGTTTGCAGCATTTTAAACAGTATTATTGCTTATCAAGTTGCCTTTCATCAAGCTAAAATCTTCTGAAGCATCTATGTTAATAGAGGACTTAACCGATTTTTATCATGCTTACATTTGATTTTTTAAAACAACATGAGCTTCAGGTAAATTATTTTGCACACACCAGTAAGACTTCACCTGTGCAGTAAACAATCTACATAAGCATATTTGATGGTCCTGCAAGTTCCCTACTCTTTTTTTCTAACCTAATGGATACCCCCATGCTCTTTCTGTGTGGAAATTCTGAAGCTATCACTGGTGGAGCCAGTTTGCAGCTCTCTGAAATGTTCTTTTGGTTTTGTCTTTTAAAGTCTCCAGACTCTTCTCCACCAATGGTACATGATGGGCCTTGATAACCATTTCTCTGTGCTCTACTAGGAAAACGTCTAACTGATCCGATTGCCTCCTGTCTACTCTCTACCTTGCTGCTAGAGTAATCTTTTTATTTTTTATTTTAATTTTTTTTAAAGATTTATTTGTTTGAGAGAGAAAGTGCAGGCTCAAGTGGGGGGGAGGGGCAGAGGGAAAGGGAGAGAAATCCTCAAGCAGACTCCCCATTGAGTGTGGAGGTGTGGAGTCCAGCATGGGGGGCTGATCCCAGGACCCTGGGATCATGACCTGAGCCAAAATCAAGAGCTGGATGCCTAGCCGACTGAGCCACTCAGGCACCCCTAGAGTTATCTTTTAAATGCAGAACGGATCATTTTATTTATCACCCATAGTGCGTGGTTCATTGCTCACCACATGGATTCCTGGTGTGACAAGATCACTATAGCCTTCTGGATACCTGGGAGGGAGGGCATAACCAGATCTCCAGTTCACTGCCTCTAACCTCAAGCAGTTTCTTTTGTGGTGACCCCAGTATATTATTCAAATATTACCGGTTTTCATTTGGGCCTTCACTTAAAAGGTTTGGAAGCACCTCTTTAAAGCAAGGTTTCTTCATTGAGACCTGAGAACCCCTGGGAGAGCAATATATGGACTTGAGGATATTTGTGATCCTCCTTAGTTTCTGGGAGTGGGTCCTCCAAAATAATCTATACTTAAAGGGGACTAGCTCCATAATATATATTAGCCTTAACAATCCGTTCTGTACTATCTTGGTAATGTCAGCAACAGCCATTTTTTCCTGAGCACCTAATACTCCAGCCACTGCAGACTACTTGGCATTCTTCCAACCTGCCACTGTTCTCCAGCCCTCATCCTTCTGCAATTTATCTTCATTGCTTCCTTCTTCTTACCTTACGCTTCGGCAATGAGGAGTTGTTCGCAACTCTCTGAAATGTACTTTCAAGGTCCAGTGCTCCATCACACATTATCTTCAGCTTGGAATGCCCTCACATTCCACCTGGTGACCTCATCCACATCTGTCAGGACCCAATTTAAACCCCCCTCCTGTAGGAGCCTCCCCCTACTCCTACTAGAAGAATTCTTTCCTCTTGCTTTTATGTTGCCTTCCTATTTTATATTAATACTTACGTTGTTACACTAATTTTAATTTATTCTAAGGATTGCTGAATATTTTTCTCCCCACAAGACTATGCTACTTGAAAGTAGGTACCTAATTTATTCATCTTTCTATACCCAGCATATTGCCCTCAGTTGGTGGTTAATGCATGTTTGATGGATAACTGTTCCTTTATCCTCATCTCAATCTGTGAAACTCTGACTTAATCCTTGAAGATTAAAATGGTTAAAATATCACCTCTGAAAAACCTCTTGACTCCAGCAGGTTAGGGGGAACACTCTTCTCTGTGATACCTAGTAGTTCGTAAACAAGTCTACTAAATCAGTTATGCCTTTCTCTTACTTTGCTCAGGTGTAAGAACTGAGAGCCTTCAGTTTGCAGGCTCAGCTCTGCTCAGTTTCTTGGCTTAATCTTTACCACTGGAGCAACCAGCAGTGGGTTCAACCCCACCTGTGAATGTATTGCCCACCACGGCCGCCACCACCACCACCACCACCAAAAACAACTCTTACTTGTTTAGAGCCCTAATAGCTTTACTTGCCAGTCCTTACTCTCTGGAAACTGGATCTGTATATCCACTTGTCTGGGAAGCCTATTCCAAATGGGAGAATTTCATAGGAACCATAATTCTCTTTCTTCCTCTTTGTATTCCTACCCCAACTTAAAGATCAGTGCTCTATCAAATAGGGCCTAATCTTTCCCTTTGAAATGCTCATCACTCTGTTAAAGAAGGCTGAACTTAGAGCCAGTTTAGTTTTCCTGACCAGGGTCACCCAGATCTGTTTTCTGCTTTATCCTATTCCCATAAAGCCTGGAGCAAATTGTACAGTGACAATGTTTAATAATCCCTAATGTTTAGCACAATGACTTCTCTAGAATGGATTCTCAACATGAATGGATGGAAAAATGGTCATCCAGTTAAAAAAAAAAAGAAAAAGATATATTTCTTGACAGGTGAGAACATGGACTGAGGGTTGCCAGATCTTCTACTTTTTCTTTTTAATTAATTTTTTAAAAGATTTTACTTATTTATTTGCGAGAGAGAGAGAGAGCATGAGAGGGGGGAGGGTCAGAAGGAGAAGCAGGGAGCCCGATGCGGGACTCGATCCTGGGACTCTGGGACCATGACCTGAGCTGAAGGCAGACACTCAACCGACTGAGCCACCCATGCGCTGCCAGATGAAATGATGAAAAAGTTCTGAAGATGGATTGTGTTATTGGTTGCACAATGACATGAATGTACTCAATGCCGCTGGATTGTACACTTAAAATTTTTTTTAGAATGGTAAATTTTATGTTCTGCATTTTTTATTATAATTTTTAGAAATGAGTTATTCATAATCATGATCTTTATTGCTGGTTTGCATAGGGTTTTAGTGATGTCAGGCTCTTTTGTGCCTTTACCCTAGTTCCTCCTAAATCAACTGTTCTACCTTCTGTGTATATGTACAGACATAAGAATGTGGGGAGGGGAAGAAAGGAGAGAGAGAGAAGGGGAGAGAGAGAGGGAGGAAAGGCGCTAAGATGAACAGCTCCAAGATTGAAATAGGTAGGACAAGTTAATATTGGTATTCATCTCTGCAATCTAACAACTTGTCTTTAGAGAGTCTTATTGCTCCAAGGATGCTTTGTTCCAGCTCTGGATGTTTTTAAATGTTGGTGTCATATAGCATGTCCCTTGGCATGGGCATTGTCTGTTGGGATTTGTTCATCAGAAGAAAAGTAATCCTTCTAACTTTCAGAAGAATATGAGGGGGATAAAGCATGATGTCTATCTCACTTTTCCAACCTCATTGCTATCACTCCACTTAAGTCCCATATAACCTCATGCCTAGACTATTATGTTAGTTTCCTTCTTCCTTTTAATTCTTACCTCATTCAACATACACTGCACTGTTCTACCATATTGATTTTCTAAAATATCACCCTTTCTTAGTACATGACTTTACTTCCTATTTCATAAAGGCTATATCATGCATGAATGCTCTGAACTTCCTGCCCTTCCCCTCACTTCTAAAAACATATCTGCATATGCTGTAACTTAGCCTCCTTTCCCTATTCCAAAAAGCAGAGGTTTCAAACCCCTAATCCAGCCACCTGTGCTGGGGCTCTCAATCCCTCCCACCTCCTTCAGGACCTGGATCCATCAGCTGTCTCTTTTCTTTCCTGTGCCTTCAGCCTCCCTTTCTTCTTCAGCTCTTCCTTTTAGCCTATAAACAAGCTCAAGTCTTTCTCAGTTAAAAAAAAAAGTGCATTTCTTAAGCTGCCACCTGAATTTCTCCTACTCACTCCCAGGCTTCATGAAAGACTGTGCTTTATTTACTTTCTCCACTTTCTCCCCGCTCTCCCACCAGAGGCTCCTGCCCCCACCTCTCTACTGCAAGTGCTCTATGAATGTTATCTGTGGCCCTTAGGTGCCAAATCCAGTAGGCAGTTTTCATTATTTATTTATCTAATCTGTCTGCAGCTTTGACACTCTGGGCTAAAATCTTTTTTATGTATGTATATCTGCAGAGAAATTGGACCCCTTGTGCAATGTTTGTTAGAATGTAACTAACTACTGTGGGAAATACTATGGCAGTTCCAACAAATGAAACATAGAATTACCATATGATAGAGCAATTCCACTTCTAGGTCTGTACATAAAAGAATTGAAAGCAGGCACTAGAACAGATATTTTTAAACCTGTGCTCATAGTGGCAATATTCACAAGAGCCAAAATGTGGAAACACCCTAAGTGTCCATTGACATTGTCCATTCACAAAATGGTATGTATATCTGTATATGTGTGTGAATATGTATATGTATATAAATATATATATTAGAATATATATACTCTGTGGGATATATATACAATATATATTGCATATGTACATAATGAAATGTTACTCAGTTTCGAAAGGAATGAAATTCTTTTTTTTTTTTTAAAGATTTTATTTATTTTTTAGAGAGCGAGCGAGAGAGAAACAGCATGAGAGGGGAGAGGGTCAGAGGGAGAAGCAGGCTCCCCGCCGAGCCAGGAGCCCGATGTGGGACTCGATCCCAGGACCCTGGGATCATGACCTGAGCCGAAGGCAGACGCTCAACCATCTGAGCCACCCAGGCGCCCGTCGAAAGGAATGAAATTCTGACACATGGTACAACATGGAAGAATCTTGAGGACATTATGCTAAGTGAAATAAGCCAGGTACAGAAGGACAAGTGTTGTGTGATTCCACTTATACATGAGGTACCTGGAGTAGTCCCGTGCATAGGACAGAAAGTAGTAGCATGGTGGTTGCCAGGGATGGAAGAAAGGAATAATAGGGAGTTATTATATGATGGGCACAGAGTCTCATTTTGGGATGATGAAAAAGTTCTGGAGATGGGTAACACTGATGGTTGCATAATAATATGGATGCACTTAATGCCACTGAATGGTACACTTGAAAATGGTTAAAACAGTAAATTTTGTTACGCATATTTTACCAACATCTTATTCAACTCAGGCTGCTATAATAAAAAGAACACAGACTGGATGGCTTAAACAATAAAAATTTACTTTTCCAGGTTCGTGGAGGCGAGGATGTCCAAAATCAAGGTGCCAGCACACGTGGTGTCTGGTGAGGTCCTACTTTCTGGCTTGTAGACAGCTGCCTTCTTGCTGTATCCTCGCGTGGCTAAGAGAAAAATTGTCTTTCTCCTGTCTCTTCTCATAAGAACACAAATCCCGTTCATGAGGGCTCCAGCCTCAGGACCGAATTACCTCCCAAAAGACCCACTTCCAAATGCCCTGATAGTGGGGATTTAGGCTTCAGCATATGAATTTGGGGGACACAAACATTCAGCCCATAGCAAACCACAATTGAAAAATTAGAATATATTTATCAGATTAATAAAAATTGTCATTCTTGAAATGTCTTTCTGTAGAGTTCCAGGAGTGTAGACTTTGTCCTCAATGATACGAGGGGATGTGAACTAACTGAAGCAAGTGATATTTTGCCAGAAGTGTAGGAGGGACCAGTTCTAGAAGACAATCAGAAATGTCAAAGAGCAATTCCTGGGTAGAAAGAAAAAGAGAATGTCTATAACTGAGAAGGTGACCCTAATGAGGTGTCTATTCCTCCAGAGACTCAGATTCCTTTATTTACATCCTTCTAGAAGCTCAGGGGGAGAGTGTGTGTTTCCCAGCTTGAACAGAACCCTTCCTACTTCTGTTAAAGCAAGCATTCATACAATGCACTCCAAAACAAAATAGAACTATAGTTAAGCAACAAAAAAACAAAAACAAAAACAAACAAAAAAACAGTTTAAAAATACATGCGTGTTTGAAGTAATTACGAAGAATTTCAAAAGCTGAATAAAAGAGAAAAGCAACCCAAGATCAGAACAAAGCCTTTGGGAGCTCTAACAGGAAAATATGTGTATCATTGTTAAGTGCCAAAGTAAATACAGCACACAAACCCAAAGCTTATCTGTGTGGTTTCCATAGTGTCAATATATATGCAAAGCTGGTCTGACGCACTGAGACCCATCAAAGGTCATGGAAGTAAAAACAAAAGTCAAACTGTCTATGTGAACCTTTGGCAAGCGAGTGCCAGGGTTCCTGGACATTTTCTCATTTCTAGAGAAGTGAGCGAGAGGTGGCAGTAATGTTCTTTTCCTTTCTCTCTCTCTCAATCTCTCTTTCTCTCTGTCACCCCCCTCCCTCTTTTCCTCCTTTCCGTTCTCCCTCCCTCATGAATTAAAGCATTATTTTCCTTGAGTCCCAGGAAATGAAATTCAAATTTACAGTGAAAGGTTACTAATGAAAGAGATGATCCATCTTTTTAATATATATGTATTTTCATGTATAATTGCACTATAGTTAAAATGAGAGCTAGTTTCTTTAAAATTGACCTGTTTTTTTTGGGGGGGGGGAATAAATACGCACTCTTTTCAATTTTCCTTCTGCTTGTCAAATCAAAATAGCTTCAGATAAATGAATAACACAAGAATGTCCGCCGTAGCCACGCAGAATCAGGATGAGAGGAAGAGCACATCATGCATTTTTCTTTGTCGTGCTACAGTTTAGGGGCACAGATTAGGAGGCTATTGAAATGTTAGGTGGATGTGGGTGACAAATTATATTCGTTGAAAAAGTAGCTACACTCAGTGGGATGAATTTGCTTTGGTATTTAGAAGTTTAAATAGCAGCTGTGGACTGAGGATAGTTTTTGGTTTGGTTTTGGGTTTTGCTTTTGTTTTTTTACTTTTTTTAAGAGACCGTAGGGATTTACTGCTTGCTTAAAGGTCATGATTTATTTATTTATTTATTTACTTATTTATTTTTAGGTAGGCTCTATGCCCAATGTGGGGCTTGAACTCACAACCCCGAGATCAAGAGTCGCATGCTCTACCGACTGAGCCAGCCAGGCTCCCCTGGTTTTTTGGTTTGTTTTTGTTTTTGTTTTTGTTTTTCTCGAGTAGAAAAGTATGGAAATGAAGCAGTGAGTTTATTCTGTAATCTTTTCTTAAATTATGACTATATGCTGTGCACTCTGCCAGGTACAGTTGTGAGTTATTTGAAGTTCACATCTGTTGAGTAATTTCCCCAAGGTCTTGCTGCTAATCAATAACAGAATATAGACTTTGTAGTTCAAAAGTCCATGCTTTTAGCTCCTATCCTACGTTACCTTTTAATGCCATTTGTTAACAGGGCAGTGTTCTGCATCGTGCGTCCCTGTATCTGGACTTCTCCCTCACACCTGACTCTCGGACCCTATGTGTAAGGAGGGTTCCCAGCACTGGTGACTTCCTGACTACTACCACTACAGCTAATAGTTCTGCTCCTATTAAATACTACTAATAATAACGATGATAATTGATAATTGATAGTGTTCTCCCAGTACTTACTATATGACTGAAACTCTGCCAAGAACTTTGTGAGAAGAAAAGAACTTTGTGAGCTTTATTTCAATTAATATTTTCAGTGGTTCTTGAAGGGATATGCTCTGGAATAGACTCCTCTGGGGTTAGATCTTAGTCCCTTTATTTATTAGCTGTGTGACCATGGACAAGTTATTTAACTTTCCTGCCTCTTCACTTCCGCATCTGTAAGATGGAAATAATAAAAATATCTAAGAGAGCTGTTGGGAAAATTAAGCAATATAGAGAAATAGCCAGTATACTTAATCCATACTGACTACAAATTATTGGTATTAATACAAATACTATTAATAATTTCATCCATCTGTAAAAACCCTGCCATGTTTATATAGCCCAGCTATGAGGCCTCTTGTCTTCGTGTCCCCCTTTTTTAAAAAATTCCAGTTCCCTGCCTAGAACTGAAACCTACTATGGACACTTGTCCAATGGCTGGATCTTTAGTACTCTGTGCTCTGTTCCTGGGAACTGGATCTTGTCCCCCACATCATCAACTGCTGGCTGGGATGCTACTTCCCACTCACTTCCACTCACTTCCAATGCAGCCAGGATGAGCTATCACCTGATTTTTAATATCTCCATTGCTACCATATCCCAGGAAAATTAGACCCCCTTAGCTCTGTCTTTGATCCAGGCTCTAGTCCAACATGATTCTTTACTAACTCCAGTTTAAACTGCTGAGTGTCTCCTGTCTTGCTCAATGCTGCTTCTTGCTCTTCCCTGCTAGCTATCTTTAAAATTATAGTACCCCTTGAGGTCAAACTCACCTAAGATTCAGCATGTAGTATTATAGTTATAGAGGAGTCAACAATGAAAATACACAGTCCTGTCCTGAAAGAACTTATGATCCTTATAAAATAGAAAAAAATAGAAGACATAGCTTATATGCCCCCTTGGATGCCACAGGCCTTGCCTGCCCTGCATTCCAGGCCATCAGCTCCTCCATGAAAACTTCTATGGGATACCCACTCTATGTCTCACATGATTCTCCTGTGCAGAGTGGACTAATTGCTTGTCCAAGAATATTGGCCTTTCACTTTGGTTACTACTGTGTAGCCAGGTAACCAGCCGTATGTCCAGAGTCTCTGGCTGCTTCTCTCATTTATGGGCTTAGATGAAACACTTCATCACGGGGCATGGGATTTGGCTTCCTTATCAGTCAGATGCTATATCCAGAAGTATAGGATCCTAAACCAGTGGAAGCCGGGAGACCAGAGGGAGCCAAATTGATCAATTCTTTCTCCTCTTTCCTTCCCATCCATTCTCAGGCACAGTTTCCCAGTGTGGCAGAACAGGTAAAACTTGTGAGTGATTGTCTCAGTCTCTCCATGGCTTATTATGAAGTAGTGACAAGCGTGGTGATCTTGTGTTACTTACCCTTTTCACACTTACCTTCTTTCTCTCTCACTCTCACTACGCTGGGATTGTACCTCCCATACAAAGTTAATCACTTAATTCATGCATCAGGCTCTGCTTTTGAGGAATAAATGGACCCCAGAGCTCCAAAATTTGAGACTCTTGAGCCAAAGAATGAAAGGAGAGACATTAAGCCTAAAAGAAGAAAAGACATAGAATAAGCAGGGTTCTTGGTGTTCTTTCTGATACCTCATCATCTTTCTCTAACACAAATCTCTCTCACTACAAATTCTTCCTCCCCCAATACACACCACACCCTACTATAACTAAAATTGTTTTGCCTTTAGGGTTAACATTTAACTCAGCATTTCCCTTCCACTAAATGTTTTGCCTAAAAGGAAAAAAAATCCCTTTAACTGTTGATAAATCCTTTCATTCCACAATTAGAGATAAGAAACTTAAAAATACAAATATCTGAATCAGTCTTAGCTAGAAAAGATGATATCACATTCATTCCTGTTTTGATGGGGGAGGAGAATTGCAGGGCAAAAAGGCAGTGGGCCCTTGGAAGGGGACAGAGCAGCCTGGAGGCAGGACAGATGACCTTATCCAATTATGCAATTCATTCACGGCTCTGCACTGCTCATCTTCATCTGAGAATAAGCAAAGGAAAGCCGGGCATAGCAGTCCTGTGGGGACGTACATAGGCAGACTATAATGGAAACTATGATCAGATAATAAGCTTAAGCAGAGATCTAATCCATGATAGAATATTTATTAAAAATGGACAGAATTCTATATGGAATGTCAACTGGATTAAATAAGGGAATTGTAACTCTGGGTATTATGGAACTGAATGAGCATTATAGTTCAAATTTTGTTGCAGTGAATGTTATTTCCTTTATTGAAGAAAATCTAAATCGAATTTTGGGGTGATAGGCCGTCCATTTAAAATCAAGTTTGTTACACTTTATCAGGATAGGATCTTAAAGTTCATTGTATAAGGTGTCGTCCATAGGGGTGTGAAATACTACAGAGGAAGATCAATAAGAACTGGCGATGTTTGAGGTAAAAAATTACAGTCCTATGCAATTCCCCAGCATGGCTTTTAAGATCAAGTTCTCCATATGTACCACAAAATATTACTTTCCTCACTTTGTTGAGTGCCCTTGTTTGCCTTTGATGTTTCAGTTATGTCACCATTTTGAACAAGGTCATCAGTGTATTAGTGTCGTTCCTTAAGCCTATGCATGTTGTAGCTATTTAATATCACAAAAATCCCTGTCCTAATTAATCCTTTTAGTTATATCATATTTCTCAAACATTTGGGTATTTAGTTAACTTTAGTTAACCTAACAGTCAGAAGAAGAGCATATGCCTGCATCCTATGAGTGTGTTCCATGAAAGAAGAGGAACCTATTCATGACAGTTAAAAGCTCCCCATAGTCCCATAAGCTAATTAAAATAAAATAGAGTCACACTGGGCGCCTGGGTGGCTCAGTCGTTAAGCGTCTGCCTCGGCTCAGGTCATGATCCCAGGGTCCCGGGATCGAGTCCCACATCGGGCTCCCTGCTCCGCGGGGAGCCTGCTTCTCCCTCTCCCACTCCCCCTGCTTGTGTTCCCTCTCTCACTGTCTCTCTCTCTGTTGAAAAATAAATAAAATCTTAAAAAAAAAAAAAAAAGAAATAGAGTCACACTTAGTAGCAATAACAGATTAATATTTGATTGAAAATAACTTTTTAGGGGTGCCTGGGTGGCTCTGTCACTTAAGACTCTGACTCTTGGTTTCGGCTCAGGTCATGATCTCAGGGTTACGGGATTGAGACTCCCACCTTGGGCTTCACACTCACTGGGGACTCTGTTTGAGATTCTCTCCATCGGCCCCTCCCCCCACTTGTGATCTCTCTCTCTCAAATAAATAAATACAATCTTTTTTTTTTTAAGATTTTATTTATTTATTTGACAGAGAGAGACACCGTGAGAGAGGGAACACAAGCAGGGGGAGTGGGAGAGGGAGAAGCAGGCTTCCTGCCGAGCAGGGAGCCCGATGCGGGGCTCGATCCCAGGACCCCAGGATCATGACCTGAGCCGAAGGCAGCCGCTTAACGACTGAGCCACCCAGGCGCCCCTAAATAAATAAAATCTTAAAAAAAATAAAAATAAAAAATAAAATAACTACTTCTAAATTGCATTTTCTATGTTTCCACAGCCCATCGGAAATCATTTTTATTCCAAAATTTAGTAATGTGAAATGTTAGTTTTTCTACTGCTTCTATAAAAATTATCAAAAATGTAGTGGTTTAACACAATGCAAAATTTTTGTTTTGTTTTGTTTTGTTTTGTTTTTTTACAATGCAAAATTTTTATCTTATAGTTCTGTAGGTCAGAAGTCCAGCACAGGTCTCACCAGGCTAAAATCAAAGTTTCCTCCTTTACATTCTTTTCTCTTGGTTCTAGGGGAGTTTCCACTTCCTTGCTCATTCAGGTGTACAGAATTCAATTCCATGTGGTTGAAGGACTGAGGCCCCATTTTCTTCTTGGCTGTAAACTGAGGGCCACTCTTGACTTTTAGAGGCCACTATATTCTTTGGCTCATGGCCCTCTTCCTCTATCTTAAAAACCAGCAGTGGTGGGTGAAGTCTTTGTTGCTCCTATCTCTGATCACAGCTGGAAAATTTCTGACTAGATTGGGTCCACCTGGCTTACCCAAGGTAATCTGGATGAATAATCTCCCAAACTCAATCACATCTGCAAATTCCCTTTTGCTATGTGAGGCAACATAGTTACAAGTTCCAGAGATTAGGATGTAGTTATCTTTGAGGGTAAAGGTGGGGGCATTATTCTGCCTACCACACATAAAGAAGCACATGGGTGGGGGCACAGAATAATGCCTAGGAGAGAACTGTACCTTATGCATTTTTTTTTTTCAGTAAAATCTCCTCCCAAACATTTTCCCTATAGATGATTTATAGCTCTTCAAATTGCATGCTTACTGATTTACAGTTCATAACTAAAGCCAATTGAAGAAAACCTTCACCATGAAGTATGGCTTATTGGAAATGTTTTCTGTTGTTAGAGGTTCTGTTGGCCTCTCCTTATTGGGACACTGTATCAACCAGCATAAAGAGCCTCCTGGCTTCTGGACTTCATGGCCTGAACTTCAGATCCTACAAACTGCCTCAGATGTTTAAGGTGAACTAGAGCCAGTCTCCAGAAGTACATAGCTTGACTGGAGACTCTACTCCAAACCTTGGAGTAGCCTACCAGTGGAATGGGCTAGTTCCAGGCTTCTCTAAGGGGCTCAAAGTTACTTTTAGGTAGCTTCCAATGAAGATCTGATTTAATCTAGATATTTCAAAGTCAGACTTACTGGTGGTCATTTTTCACTTCAGTCTGGACCATTGATTTATGTTCCTGGACTATTGTAGTAACCTTCTCACTCAGCTCCCACTTCCAGTCTCTCCACTGCAATCCCTCCTCCATGTTATCAGGACAGAGGAGATTCTCAACTTTTTTATTTGTCCTAACATACTCGAGGAATACAATACATTTCCCATAGTAAGTGCCTCATAATGGTACTTCTTTTCAACACAAAGTTCTATTAAGTTTATAAAAGAATCTCAGACCATTCTGGACCCCCAAAGGTGGACCAAGTGATTCTGCAATCTCCCTTTTACTCACTTTTAGGGGGCATGTGATTATAATGATAAAAAACCTTGTTATCATTGTTCTAACACTTATCTGCTGCTTACTATGTGCCAGATATTGTCCTAAGTACTTTATATATGCTATAACTTATTTAATCTTCATATCAACCCCTGAGGTAAGTTCTATTGTTAAACCAGTTGTATAGATGAGGGAAATGAGATTAAGTGACTTGCTCACAGTCATACAGCTAATAAGTGACAGAGCTGTGATTTGAACTCAGATTCCGCACTTTCAACTACTAAGTCAAACTATATCCCAGCACCTTCTGTTTTGCTAAAACATAAATATTGTCGCACTTCTACCTTTCAAAACATTCAGTCTAAAATGCTAGCATAGCTTTCAAAGCTCTTGGTAATCTACCTCTATCCCCAATATTGAGCCTGTTTTGTTCTAGTATCCATCTCCTTCTTAATTTTTCCTCCTTTTATGAATTACTGAGACAGGGATGTTAAAACCTTCCAATATACCTAAATCAAGCTATTTTAAAAAAGAAAAAGAAGACATTCTAGTATCCCATCACATTTGCTTCCCCTCAATAAAACATGCATTAAGTGGCTATTTGAGCTAGGCTATGTTAGGTAGAAAGAATGTAAAGATCCTACAAACTGTAAGGAAATAAAGAAATGATTATAATAAATAAGGGAGGGAATTAACTTATCTAGCTTTTATGGGTCAAGCACTATTCCATTACACACATTTTATTGACCCCCTCCCCAGCACTGTAGATAGTCCTCTCCTTGTTTGACAGATGTAGAAACGACAGTCCACAAAGTGGTTAATTATTTGAACCAAGGATATACAGCTGGGATAGCAGTGATATAACTGGGATTCAGAGTCAGGTCTGTCTGACTCCAAAGCTCAAGGTCTCTCAACTATGCCAGTTGTTTTCAAATTGTTTCTTTCCTGTCAAGAGTCTTATTATTGAAATGCAAATAAGCCAAATAGATCAACGCTGAGATGAAAATAAACCAAGTAGATAAAAGCAGAACTGCTCGGATTAATCAGAGTATGAAGCCTAGAGCTCCTTCCCTCCTGAATTCCTGGGTCTGCAGTGAAGAGGCACCACAGAACTCAATTCGAAAACCAGTGCATGGTACAAAGAAGCTGTTCTCTGGCTGAATCTTTAAACGGTGTTCAAAATGCAATAGTGTAAGGGGTGCAACATACTTTGGGAACAAAAAGAAAGAAACCAGGACTGAACTTTATAAGAGAAAAGGAATTGTCATAGGAAAGGTTCCATTTGAGCTGAACCTTAAGAATGGGTGGGCATGTGATGTAATGAGCTCTGGGTATTATATGCAACTGATGAATCACTGAACTCTACCTCTGAAACTAATAATACACTATGTGTTAATTAATTGAATTTAAATTTTAAAAAAGAATAAAAAATATAATGGAAAAATATTTTTATAGAAAATGAGTTAAAGTTAAAACTGTCTTTTGAATTACTAAAAAAAAAAAAAAAAAGAATGGCTGGGAGTTTTCCAGCAGGAGAGTGAAGTAAGGACTCTTAAGGCAGACGTAAAAGTGTAGCTACCCTAAACATGTAGCTTGGCATTGTCATACTACATTGCCTTTAACAAACAACATGGACCCTTGCTGCCTGGACAGTGTAGTGTGGTGCAGACTAGACTGGAAGACAGGAGACTGAATGAAACATACCGGGCTTACTACTTCAATGCCTCGCTTTGTCTTTTCACCTGTAGATCAAGGGGATTTCACGAGTAACTGTCAAAGACTCCTTCAAGCTGTAGAAACATCATTCTGTAGTTCATGAACAAAATCTTTTCCATTATCTTACATACAAATACATGAGGAAAAACTATATTTTACAAGTGTCATGGTTAAGAGCCTCCTTCCTCAAAAAGGAAAAGAAGAATGAGAATAGCTTCCATGTATAAAATACCTAATGTATAAAATAAGATTGTCATGTAGGCAGTTTTAGGCACATGACTCAGATTGTCCCATGTATCCTCACAACAATTCCTTGAAGTAGAATCATTATTCTGTTTTAAAAATGAGCAAATGGAGATAGAATGAAAGCCACTGCCCAGGTCATATGACTAAGGGCAGAGCCAGAACTCCATCCTAAGTCTTGCTTTTCCAGCCACGCTCTTCTCCCCACTTGCAGTGTAAAACCCTCAGCTGCTTTGTGAGGAGAGCTTGGAACTGCCCTGAGATCAACACCCGGTCCTCTTCTATCAGTAGTTACTAAATACGGCTAATGATGAAATCTTCTGGGGACCCAAATGTTCATCAGTGGACCAATGGATAAACAAAATGTGGTATCTCCATGCAATGGGATATTATTTGGCCAATAAAGGAATGGAGTACTAGTACATGCTACATCTTGGATGGACCTTATAAACATTACACTAAGGGAAAGAAGCCAGTCACACAAAATCATATATTATATAATTCTATTCATATGAAAGTCCAGATTAAGGAAATCTGTAGAATCAGAAATGGTGTCTTAGATCTGAAGGTGGGATGGGGGGAATAGTAGGATAGTAGCTAAAGAGTATGGGGTTCTCTGTGAGGTGATAAAAATGGTCTAAGATTGACAATGGTGAGGACTACATATATGTGTGAATATAATAAAAACCACTGAATTGTATTCTTTTTTTTTTTAAAGATTTTATTTATTTATTTGACAGAGAGAGACACAGCGAGAGAGGGAACACAAGCAAGGGGAGTGGGAGAGGGAGAAGCAGGCTCCCCGCAGAGCAGGGAGCCCGATGCGGCACTCGATCCCAGGACCCTGGGATCATGACCTGAGCTGAAGGCAGTCGCTTAACCAACTGAGCCACCCAGGCGCCCTGAATTGTATTCTTTATAAGGATGAATTGTATGGTATGCAAATTATATCTCCATAAAGCTGTTTTTAAAAATCCTCTGGGGTGTGCCTGGGTCGCTCAGTCAGTTAAGTGTTTGCCTTCAGCTCAGGTCACGATGTCAGGGTCCTGGGATCGAGACCTACGTTGGGCTCCCTGCTTAGTGGGGAGTCTGCTTCTCCCTTTCCCTCTGTGCTCTCTCTCCTTCTCTCTCTCAAATAAATAAATAAGTAATCTTTAAAAAAAAGTCCTCTGGGAAACATTTAAAAAAAAATCTGATTCCCAACTTTTGCCTCCCCACAACCGCCATGTCAACCTCCACCTCTTAAGATTCCAATTTAATAAGCCTGAGTTGGTTCTCTGGAAATAGGTATTTTGTCAAAGGTGCCTTGAGTGATTCTGATGACAATCTAGATCTGAATATATCACTGCTTTAGACAGCCAAACAGTAGACCTGGCTCTTTATAACCAACATGATTTTCACGGTGGCTGGTGGAAGACCAAGTAGCTCAGAGTAGGTCACAGTCCCTGAATACCAAGATCACAAAGTTTGCTCGGGCATTGTTGGTCTAAGAGCAAAGTAACATTCAATAAAATCTGGAAGAATGCTGTTTTACCAAAACACCCTAATATTCTTATATGGCAAGTTTGTTTTTCCTTACAATTTTGGTGATCCTCTTTTCTCCAAAAGTTCTTCCTCAGTCGCTTTCTTTTTTCCCTTAAGATAGCAATAGCAATGTGTTTATAATGGAGTACTCTGTTTCTGAGGGGAGGAAGTGAAGAGTGAAAGATTTACTTAATATAGAGAAAACATATTAATATCATGAGAAAGAAGTATAGTAAGAAGTAATGGACAGAAGTTTAGTGTCTGAAATTTTATATTTTAATGATAGTTTAGCTGAATGAGCAGAAAATACATTTGAGGAATTGACAGGAAAACTGGAAGGGGCTGCAATAAATAAGCTCCTAATTAATGTTTCACCATATTTCATGAATTTAAATTTTTAGCCAGGTGCATTTCTGGGGGGGAGGTTCTATTCAAATTGGGACTTTGAAAAGAAGACTACATTTTATTATTCTAAAATTACAGATGCATTTCAGTTTCTTTAGAATATGATATGCTTTTGCTGACTAAATAGCATTACCTCTTAGTAGAGGCCCAATGCTATAATTTGACCCCTCTGGCAAATTAAATACAATTATGCAAACTACTAGGATTTGGGTATAATCTAATTAATATGGTACATATGAAGCAGATAGTAATTTCCCTGGTTGAAACTAAATTGTCTTCTTTCACATTTGAACTATGTTTTAGAAAAACATTGATTTATGTAAGCAAGACTTCATTATCTTGTGTATTCTATTTGCTCAGCTCCGTGATGGACATGTTTAGAAAAATAAAGCCAAAATTGGAATCTTCAAATGATGACCTTTTTTCCCCCAGATATTTATAATTACCAAACAGAATATTACATGGAACTAGGAAAAGAATTCATTTTGAGTTGATTGCTTTTCTCTAGTGAAGTGTAAGTGGAACATTACTATAATTTTTTCTCTTTGTATATCTAAAATTAGGGTTAAATATGATTTAATGGAAATAATCCTGTTCATTGAAACACAAATTTTTAGGAGTTGAAATTGATCTGGACTAAGTGCCTACTAATAATCCAGTCACAAACTTTCTGAATGATATTTATAATCATGAGATACAGCATACTATGTTTAAAATATGTGAATCACATTAGCATTAATCAGTACTACATGTGTGCACTAAGCAGAAATCAGGAAAGATTTGCTTTTGTGCTCTTTACCAAGAAAACTAAAGAAATTATCCCTCCCATTTGGAGAAAACAGATGCTTTTTTCTTTTTCTTTTTTCTTCCTACAAAAGTGAATTTCACGTGTAAGAGGAGTTCTGGCTTAATAGCATTGAATATGAGTCTTTTATACAAAGGAAATGTACAGGGTGTACCAAGGCTTCTTGTGTGGAATTGTCATTTCCAAGTGTGTGAACACAGTCTTTGCTCATTTGTTCCTTAGCTTCTTGGGGAGACTGCCAACAAGCATGCCAACTCTCAAGCTGCATTGTGCAACGATTTCTAGCCCACAAAGATCTGGATTTTTTTTCATAGGTAATGTCAATGTCATAAAGGCCCCTAAACAGCTGTTGGGGGGGAACAACTTTTAGAAAGCAGTGGCCTGTGTTAGTTCTTTGTTCTGTGTTAGCAGAGAAATGCTCAGTTTAGTGGGTGAAGAGGAAAACAGTTCTGTTAAGAATTCGAATACTTTTATAATTTGCTTGTAAACCTGTAATGACAAGTACATTCCCAAGAAATAAAGAAATATTAGCGGCCTCTGTGTTGTGAGTATGTGTAAAGGAGCTAATAAATAAACACATTTCGAAGCGACCTTACCAGCTGTTTTCATTATGCCAGAAGTTTCCCCACCACGGACTGCTGACCCCTGAGATGGGGAGTGGGAGCACAGGGTCAGCAAAGAAGTGGGAGTGGGGTGGGCAATAATCCATATATACATGTCAATTTTCTTAATTGAGTGATCTTAAAAATTCAACCACTGTAATGTGATAGGGGAGCACCCTCAAATGTTTCATATTAAAAACAAAAATAAATTATGTTATATCTTGAACTTGCTTCACAATGAGCCAGGGTAGAATGAGTAGGTGAGGTCCAGATGACATAATATTGGACATGAGTTGATAAAGTTGGATGATGGATGCATGAAGATTTAGTATCGTCTTCCCTTTAACTTTGTGGGTTTTTTTGAAAATTTCCCTTATTATAACCTTAAAAATTATTATACCCCAAAAGTTTGGGAACCACTGCTTTATATTAAATTGTCAGGTAATTTGGTTATAAATTCTTCCATTGGATACTCAAGCAGGCAACTTGTTCAAAGCAAAGATTAAATAGGTTACTAAAGACTACATAAGAGATACATTGTCAATCACTTGTTGACTCTGGGAGTATCTAGATCTACTGTTCTTACACTTAACCTAATCTTTATCTCACACCAAGAATTAAAAAAGGGAAAACAGCTTTCATACATCTATAATGGGTAATAGGATGTATTGATTGAGAGAAACTTAAAAATTAAAATGCTTTTCTCACTGTCACCTGTTAAGTCCTTTCTCATCCTTCCCTTTCTCTTCCCCTCTCCCTGTTTTTCTCTAATGCATTTATATTTACCCTAAGTTTAAAGAGAATGACCTATTTCAAAATCGAAGTGGCAAACACAAATTAGAATGCATCCTTTTAGTCTGTTCCTCACAACCAATCCGTCTTCGGCAACTGTTCTACTTTTCTTTAGCCTTGGCAAGCTATTCAGAACAACATTTCCTTCTTTTCATTCTGATGCTGGACGATTGTTTGGTGCTGATACGACATTGGCTTTTCCCATAATTTAGCCTAGAGAATTTTACACTAGGGAGTTTCAATGTGTTTAGATTGTAAAGCTTTTTCAGAACACTTTTGTAACAGAACTCCATGTTCTAATGGCCCCAGCAAAGTTGTTTTAAATGCTTTTGCCCCTGAATTTTCACCAAAATTCAGTTCTGTTTTAACGTTGATGGTTTATTGTCACTTTGCCCCAAAGATAAATTAAAACATGTAGAGAGATTGTCATTTCCCGTTCAATGTGTTGTTGTTCCTGTGTACAATGTCAGCCTTTTTATTTACGTTTACGCCATTCCATGAGGGTAAGTAACTTCCTGATTAGTCATTAGGAGCAACTCTTGGAAAACTAATATAATCCCACATATCGGCCAGGTGAGTTATGTTAGGGGTGAAGGATTGTGTGATCATGGGTATGTGTGTTCCTTTATTAGGTAAGAGAATTGTCATTTATCATAGCGTGGCTTATCACTACAGTTCACAAAACTGTAATCATTTTATATCAGCTTCTCACATTCTTATTTCCTTCTGATATACCCAGTGAGCTGGTCAGTAGGTTTTAAAATGTAATAATAGAAGAATCAGGCAGACAATTGTAGGAGACACTGAATTAGCTGAGAGAAAAATACTTTAGTAGGTTATGTTTGCTTGAATAATGAATTGCTATGAGTCTCTACTCTCTGGGTAGATCTTCTGCCTTCTATAGTAGATTTTAGAAATATCTGCATTTCTTATGCATATTACACATACTGATATGTTTTGTTCCTATGGCAGAGGAGTCTTTAAACTTTCCAGTTCACATAGAGCCTAATAGAATTTTGAAAAGGTTTGTGTCCCTCTTGCACGTTGTTACAGCTGAAAATTTTTATTGTGAGTACAAGTAGTTGCAGAGGATGTAATTTTCTTCATGTTGTACATATTCTATTGAAAAATAAATCTGCTATTTTGCTTTTTTAATAGTAACTAATAGGATCTAAATACCATAGCAATTTAATGCTCCCATCATCCCCTTAAAAAGTAAATCATTAAGCTTTCTTTACAGATATTTATGTTACTTTACTTTAGACGATACTAAATCTCCATGCATCCATCATCCAACTTTATAATGAAAACTTATGTTTTCATTCCATCTCACCCATGGAATTTTATTCTAATATAATATACATTTATTATCTTTTATTGATAATCATGTTTTACTTCAACAAAAATATTTATATAAATTGAAATTTAAAATTAAAAATATTTCCTGTAACCATGAGGCCCATACTTTTTCTGAAGTGAGTCACCATTACAATTATTATTAACACACCATTGACCAAAAAAAAAAAAAAAATACGCCATTGACCAAAAAAAGTTATACTAGTTGACTTCAAAGTAAACATAGTTTTATTAGAGATACATCTCAGTGAGATGGATGTGAGGTGAATTTTAAATTCTACCTTTTTTCCCTTTGGTTTTGGGGCTTTTATTTTGTTTTACAATTAGTTCATATATCTATGCATGAATAGTTATTGCTTATTGCTGGAATGAGACAGGTTTAGCATCAATAAAACCTCTAGTTTTATTTTTGTAGTTGCATATCCTAAGAAACTTATTCATGTACATAAGTAGATAGCTCTGGAAAGGAGGGCTTTTTGTTTGTTTAAATGAGCATTTACTTAAACGCTTTCCATTGCTTCTGAGTCATATGCCCCAAATCACTCAGTAATCTTCAATTTAAAAATTGGAGGTTGATCAGTGGACAACTTGATGAGATCTCATACTTGGCCACTACTTCCCACTGCCTTTCTTCTAGGACCTTCTAAGTGAGGAACTGAGATCTCAAAAGGTTCACCACGAACTCCCAGATCCCATTGTCCTCTCAGCCCAACTGCAGCTCCTATTACTGCTGCTTCTCTGTCTAGCCAGTCAGTAGGTGGTCAGAAGGCAACACACCCATTGACTTGGCCCCTCCAACATGCATCTAGACAGACTCATGGTAGCTTCTAGGTGACTCAGTGAAGGCCTTGATGCTCTATAACCATGGTGCAGTAAATTCAGTTGTGTGATATTGAGTAGAAAATTCCTTTCCAGACTCCAGGGTCAATCAGTTTGCATCTTGAAGACAGAATTTGTGACATTTAATACTGGAGATCTTGATTAAAAGGTTGGGAAAGGTTACTGAATCAGCTGACATTTACTGCGTACCCACAGAGAGCATGACACTAGTATTTAGTAAGTACATGGCATTTATGGATCTGAAACCCTCCTCAAAAGTGAAACTTACCCCTGTAGAAAGGATGACCTCATCCATTAGTGGAAGAAGCTCATAACTTCTATCTACTCACGACTCCAAGTCTAGTAAACCTTTTAACCTTTACTTGTTCTTGGGTCAGAGGGAGTGGTGACATCCAGTCATTGATAAAGAAATGAGCTGGGAATGTAGGGAATTATATGTTAGAAGATGAGACCTAATTAAATATAGGTAACTCCAGACTAACTAGTACAGTGCTAGAAATCTTATGGATGCTCAGTTAATATTTGTTGCTGAGGCCATTCAGGCATCCTTGCTTTTACAAAATCTCTTTGCAAACAGCACATTTGAGCTTGTCTGGGCTCTGAAGTTCATCTCATAATATTTTCTCTGCACAAAAGAAAACACATTCTTAGGTGTTTTGAGACTGTTTGTTGTTGTAAACTCCTAATTATTTTTTTACATTTATAGTCCCCCTATATAACTTAACATTCTCAAAAATCTAGTTATTCTCCCTTGTTTTTTAAAAAATATTACTGTGGTAAAATATATATCACATTAAATTTATCATTTTAACCATCTTAAGTGTACAGTTCAGTGGCCTTAAGTACATTCACAGTGTTGTGTCGCTTTTTTTTCTAGCTGAACAGAATTCCTAATGTGCCTGTGACAAAGATGGATGAAGTATTAGCTAAGAAATAGTCGCAGTCGGCTTAAAGGACAGACCTCTCTTAATCACAGAATACTTATTAGGGGACACAAATATATACAACATATGAATTGAGTAGATCCCGGATCCCATCCCAAAGAGTCAGGAAAGCTCCGTAGCTGCTGTGTAATATGCAGCATGAGATCTTTATTGGAATAGGATTATCTTGTGTCAGGCCAACAAAAACTTGGCATTGATGCATAATTAATGAACTGGGAAATGGATTAATGAGATTTCTCTCTAATTATTGTTTCCCTAATATTTGGCGTGAAAGCAAAGCTGCATTAATTAGTAGAGTGGGTGGTGTGTGTGTGTGTGTGTGTGATTGTGTCTGGGTGTTGTGTGTCTGTCCATGGGTGTCCATACTTCATTTGCTGTATTTTCCTTTGTTTGTTCTTACCCTCCTTCCTTATTTCTACCCCCTCATCGCTCTTGTTCTTCTCAGGACTGCCATTTTGTTTTTGTATGTGGGTGAAGGGAAAGGACTGACAGCTTGAATGATTCTATTTCTAGATGGATGTTTGAGTATATATGAATTAATCAATATTCCATAATCTAGGTAGTGAAAGCCCCTCCTTTTTCTTAGAGCAAAGAGAACATTATGTTCTGTGTGTGCAGCTTAACTACCATTAATGTTAATTAAATCATGCAGGCAAAGCCCCTTTCTTGAGTTGATAACATGCTCTAGTATACATCATTGTCAATTACACATCAACTCTTAATCATCTTGGGAAGCAGGAGGTAAATCCCCCTGCTGAGCCAAAGCATCTCATGTAGGGATTATTGGCCAGCATTAGGATCTGAACTTAAAATCTTAATTCTTTCTTTTCCTTCAAACTTATTCTACTATTGTTAATTAAGTCAAATATTCCTCTAGGAAGTAAGCAAATGCGTGCCTATGTGTGCGTGCTTGTGTATGTGTTTGTATATGTGATGGGGAAGAGATGAAGATAAAGGAATGGTGAAGGCTAAGAGGCAGAATATTTTTGCATTCATATTTGAAGGCTACAAAAATGTGTAGCTCATTTTTCCCAAATCTTGAGTTTAAACATGTCTTTGCAGGTAGAAGATCTTCCATGTGGTGCGTTAATTCTGATGGTTTTGTTTCTGGACATGAAATAGCCACTGTTGGAAGATTTACATCCTATGTGGCTAAATATTTCCTCATCCAACAGATATTCATGAAATCTATCATGATGATGATGATGATGATGATGCTGTCAAGTTCTCTGTCAGTGAGAAATACTGACACCTAAACAGGTATTTAAAAATGTATGAGCGAGAGCCTTCAATTTGCTAGAGCTTACCTTCCAGCTAGAGACAGATGAAAGGTAAGGCTGAAGGGCTCAGGAGAGGCCACACCATGGGAAGCCCTGTGCTCCATGTTGTCCTAGCAGGATAAGAACTGCTGTCACCAACAAGGGTCTGAAATGCTGAAGTGGAGTTCTCACTCCCGGGAACAGTTAACGCGAGCCTTCTTCCACCCCCTGGTTCTTGCCAGGGCATTGAGTCTTCTGCTAGCACCTTCTGCATCTGCCAGCAGGCTGGAGATCAGCTGGGGGGGTTAGACCTGGACCCACCCTGTGGCACACTTCACGTCTCCCTGTGGTGATCACATGCCCATATTTATGCCCGAATTCCCAAGTCAACAATTCATACTGTCCTCTTCCACTCTTAGTAGTGTCCTGAATTGGACAAGAAATCATATGATCACCCTAATTTCTCCTACATTCCATTGGTCGGAATTCAATCACATAGTCATACCTCACCTCAAAGGAGGCAGGGAGATCTATGTGACGGGAAGGAAAAGGCAATGGATTTTGCTGAATGTGAGGCACTCCTTGCCGCAAATGTGAAGGGGGTGAAGACTTGTCCTCCATACCCATTGCCTTTGAACCACTACCACTTAAATTCTGATATTCCTTTGAAATCTTCTGGTTTATTTTAAAAATTCCTTTGAATTTTGAATCCTGCTCTGTCATATATTTGTGTTTTTCTTAGTATAAAAATACTGTGCTTTCTTTCTTCAAACATCTTCACAAATAAATAATGTTCTAGGAATATTTGCTGTGGTTAGTTGTCATTCATTGACTCCTGGAAGAACTGTATGAATAGTAGTTTGAGACACATACCACTGAATGGTCTTAGGCAGAAGAGTGACCTTGGCCAGGTTTCCACTGAAAAAGCCCACTCTGACAGCTGTGTGGAGTGTAGATTCCAGGAGACAGAGAGCAGGGAGTCCAATTCAGACTCTTCTAGTTATTTGAGGGAAAGAGGACAAAGGATCTGATCAGTGCTGGTAGCAATGTTAGGAGATTAAATCGGTAGGGATAAACCAAAAACTAAATTATTGATAAACTGGACTATGTAAAAATTAAATGCTTCAGCAAACACATCATAAAATTAAGTTGTTTTTTTTTAAAGATTTTATTTATTTATTTGAGAGAGAGAATGAGAGAGAGAGAGCACATGAGAGGGGGGAGGGTCAGAGGGAGAAGCAGACCCCCTGCTGAGCAAGGAGCCCGATATGGGACTCGATCCCGGGACTCTAGGATCATGACCTGAGCCAAAGGCAGTCGCTTAACCAACTGAGCCACCCAGGCGCCCCCATAAAATTAAGTTTAAAAGGCAAGGACAAACTGGAAAAAAAATGGGTGTCACATTTATGAATGATGAAAGGGTTGGTTTCCCTAATATACAAAGACATCTATGACTCCATAAGAGAAAGCGTTCTAATAGAAAAATGGAGGGTGCCTGGGTGGCTCAGTTGGTTAAACGTCCCAGGATCCAGTCCCACATCAGGCTCTCTGCTCAGTAGGGCATCTGCTTCTCCCTCTGACCTCTCCCATCTCGTGTTCTCTCTCACTTTCTCTTTCTCAAATAAATAAAGTCTTTAAAAAAAATAGAAAAATGAAAAATAAATCACACACACATACACAAAAGAAACAGGGACACAGCAATTTGTCAAAGAATACAAATGGTCTGCAAAATGTTAAAACCTCACCAAAGTTCAAAAAATAGAAATGAAAAGATGAGAGCTATTTTTTATTATCAGATTAGTAAAGAAGGTCTCATAATAGCACACATGTGTGCACAAGGTGTTAGCATTAGGGCTGTCAATAACAGTCAAAATTGAAAAAAATAATAATTTCCTTCAATGGAAAAGTTGTTAAATTATGACATATCCCCTCAATGGAATATTATGCAACCACTAACAATGATTGTATGTATCTATATTAATTGAAATAGACACTATGACCCACTACTAAGTGAAAAAAAAGATTATCAAACTCGCTGTGTAACATGCCTCACTTTCTGTAAAATAGTCTGTACACGTGTGCAGGAATGTGCATGTGAGTATACAGCGATATCTGTAAGGCTTTTTGACAAAATATTAAAACTGTCTATTTCTAGATAAGTAGATGTGGAGATGATTTTTACTTTTTCTCTCTATCTTTCTATATTGTTTTGAAATTTGAAAACAAACATGTATCGTCTGTCATTTTTAAGTAAATAAAACCTTATTATTGGGGAAAAATAAAAGAGCAGGTCTTTTTATCCTTCGGAGTAAAAAAGGAGGAGAACTTGGTGATTGGTTGTGTCTGGAAAGTGAAAGAGAAGGGTTGGTCAAGGATGACTTCCGGTTCTTTCCTCCTTGCAATTCTCTGGCTCTGCTTGAAGGGCAACCCTCCATTGCTTGCCCCATTGTTGTTCCTTACACTTTGCAACTTCTCATCTCCCATTCTGCCCCTCCTAATGCTGGTCCCACTGTTGAGTCCTCTGCAGGCTCTGGCTGATTTTAGAATGCTCTGTTCATCTACTTTCTTAACTATGTGGCAGAGATTAGAGATGAGGGATGCCTTTGGAAATGACCGACCCAAATACTGTAAGTTGGCCTGGCTTCCTTGGTTGCCAACATGCTCTGATGGTCCCAGTCTGGCATCAGGGAAGATGGATGTGTGAACTACCAAGTTTAAGAGGGGTCCGGAACCTGCTGGCTCTGTCTCATGGTGTTCAAAGTAGTAGGAAGGCCCATTGAGAGGGTAAGGATGGCCAGGGGTTTGCCACATTTCATGAGGGGCAGGGAAGCTCATTTTCACCTGGACACTCCACTCAGAGTAGGAGCAGGAGGTTGACCAGTGGAAGCAAAGGCCAATGCTGGTTAACAACTTAAGAGGAATTGCCAACACATTCTTTTTTCAGGATTGCAGTTTTGCCTTACAAACAATGTTTTTTTAAAGCCAGGTTATGGGGGTGGCTGGGTGGCTCAGTCGGTTGAACGTCTGCCTTCAGTTCAGGTCATGAACTTGGGGTCCTGGGATCGAGCCCCACATCGGGCTCCCTGCTCAGTGGGAAGCCTGCTTCTCCCTCTCCCTCTGCCATTCCCCTGGCTTGTGCGCTCTGTCCCTCTGCCTCTCAAATAAATAAATAAAATCTTAAAAAAAAATAAATCCAGGTTATGCAGACACAAGAGTGAATGCTGGCTGTATAAGGGCAAATGTTAAATTTAAGAGCCTTTACTGGTCAAGAAAGATGAACAATTCAACTTCTTGAATCTTATTCTCTTTGCCATTTGAGGCTGACTCATCCCAGCCTTCAAGGGCCGGGGCATTTCTTAGTATGCATTGAACTCATGCCAAACTATTGTTTCACACTGTTATTGTCTAAAAGACAACGTGTACTAGAAACGTGAAACAGGAAATGTCCATCTGAACTTATTACGGTAGAAGAAATTTTCCAGAGTCCATATGCTGATGTAATTATTTTCAGATTTTTTTTTAAAAAAAGCATTTAGTGACTAGATCTTTGGAACAATTGTATTCGCTGTCATGGGCAGAGCGTCTAGCTTATTATCTGTCTTGTAGAAGAATAGAGCCCTGAAATTGCCACAATAATGTTTTACAATTTTTTTGAATTAGGTTTTAAGGATTTTTATTTGCTTAGTTTTGTGTGTGTGTGTGTGTGTGTGTGAAGCGCATATGTATTTGAATGTCTTAATCTCTTATTTTCTTTGGAGGGTCCTTAATTTATTTGACACTGAATTTTTTCTCCATCTTCAAAGTGTGTGGCACATGCCCTATTCCCTTCTGTTCCAGTACTATATTTCGTACAGTTTCCTGTAAATAGCAGTAGATACGGGCTGGTTGGTTCCGTGTTCTTGCAGTATTTACAATGGACATTTCTCAGCATAACTAATCTCTTTTCAAAATTTTGGTTGCATTCTCATCAACACCAATCCGTTCCTTTGAAATGAATTGAAATGCTGTACTCTTTGAAGGGATAGGATTAAAGCTTTAACTGGGTCTAGGGATGAGGTGAGGGAGAAAAAGCCCCCACAAATCTGGTAGTTTTTTTCTCCTGAGCAGTGAAGAGCAATGAGCTGTACTCTAGAAAAGAAAGGAAACAGTAATTATGAGCCTTTTCCCTACATTGTACACAGTCTTCAGTTTAGAGCAAAGTAGAAGCCGACCAGTTTTTTAGTTCTGTAGCACAGTTAAGTAAGGATTGGATTTATAAGCATCAAGAAGCAGAGGTCTTCATTCAGGTATGACTGTGTCTCTTCTTTCTCTCTTTCACTTAATTTAAGTAGCTTCATATTGTTTTATATTTGTTTGAGTCCATGATCTTTTTTTATCCTATATCCTATGTACCAGACAAACTCCATTTCGTCCCATATTTTCAGTTCTTTTTCTGCGGTTTTACAGAATCCCAGAAATCCTCTTCTCCAGCTAAAATGCTATCATTAGTACCATTAATTCTAATGTCAGTTTGAACTTCTTTATTCCAGCACACTCTGCAGCGTGAAATCTTAAGAGTATGAATGAATGATTGGTGTCCAGCCAAGCTTTGCCTATGTCTTTCCACGACCAAAACAATTAGGTGAAGAGGGAAAAATTCAATTGGCTATTGTTTTATCTGCCTGGTCCCAAGCAGCCTATATGAATATTTTGGGAAATTTTTTGTATACTGATGGTTGCGTTCTCATTATGTAGCTATAGCAAAAAGGTTTCAGTGTGAAAGTTTCATTTTTTAAGAAATAGCCATTTCAGAAACAAATGAGGTCAATGGGCTTCTTGTTTTAGGAAGAGGGAGTAGTGGGGACTTTGGAGTAAGAGGAAGTCCTATGTCAGAGGGCTCTGCGCACACTTTCCTGAAATACCTCAGCTATGTGTAAATGTAATCTGTTATTTTAACTATTCGTAATAGTTGCATTTTTGTCCTTTCTCACATTAAATTATAAAATCGATAACATAAATATGGCAGATCTTTATTTTTCAAGGATTCCTTCCCCACCTCCCCCAGTTTCTAACAGGTTGCATTTCATCCTTTCAAAGACCTCAAAAGCTACCAGATTATTGTTAAATAAACAAATTTGGGGAGACTACTGACCATTAGTCAGAGGGAAGGTCCTGAGTCATCCAAGTGTTCTCCAGCTGGTGAAGAAGTATGTAAAAGCTCCTGGCCAGATCTGTACATGCTGGAGCATCCGGGTAAGTTGGGGAAACACATTCATGGTACCCAGTGAAGAAATGAAGTGGCAAACACAATGCAGTGCACTTCTGTGCTTCAGGTTGAAGCTTCATATTCAAAGGATGTAAGAACTTAATTTTTCCAGGGCAGGTGGTTGGGGGATCGGGTAACTGAGTGATGGGCATTAAGGAGGTCACATGATGGAATGAGCACTGGGTGTTATATGCAACTGATGAATCACTGACCTCTACCTCTGAAACTAATAATAGACTTTATGTTAATTAATTGAATTTAAATAAAATAAAATTTTAAAAAATTTTTTCTTCTCCTCCTCCAGCTTGTGTCTTTCAATTTTGTATTGAAATGTTCCCTGGATTCATAAAATACTTAAGGACCACATAAAAAAGAAAAGACTCAGGAATCAAATGAAAGTCACCTAACACAACTTCTTTGGGGTGTATTCAGGAAAGCAGACTCCCTCAAAAGCCCAGGGTTAAATTCATCAGCACTGCTTTCTCAGCATGTTTTGATTTCTTACTGAATGCAGTGAGTGCAGGAACCCTGGGCAGCAAACATTTAAGGATTTCATCTGGGCAGGCACTGATCTTAAAGTTCTGACCTCCAACAGTGTCAGGCAGGTTGCCTTGGTAAATTGTAAAGTGAACCGTTGAAGATAAAACTGCAACTTAAATGTTCACATATTTACTAATTGCTTGAATATTTTCAGAGAAAAAAATGAATGCTACTTATTTTTCAGAATAGAGTGTGATGACTATACCAAAATTCACAAAATGTGTAAGAGTAAAGGAAAACTGTCAGGTGACGACCGATTCTTTTTATTCCAGAGATATAGGTAAGAAATATGAATAGATAGATAGATAGATAGATAGATAGATAGATAGATAGATAGATGATAGATAGATAGATGATAGATAGATAGATAGATAGATAGATAGATAGATAGATAGATGATAGATAGATATGGAAGGCTACAGAAGAAATTAGAAACTGTGGTTGCCTTTGAGGAAAAGAATTGAGGGCCTAGCAGCCAGAGATATTTTGCAGTTTATAATACTGTAATACTTTAATTTCTTTCCTTGTACATATATAGCTTTTTTAAAAGAATGAGAAGTGCTTTACAAATGCACATATTTTCACTGTGAAGTCTTTATTTCCATAATACTAAAAGTAAATGCCTGGTCAATAGATTCTGTGCTGTAGCCATGATATCCCTTGATTTTGTTTACCTGGTAACACCAGCTTGTGTCTGTAAACTCTTTAAAACTCCCAAAATTATTTCACCTATATTACCTAATTTGTAAGATCACTTTATTATTTATTATTATTTATTACTTAGCTCTTCTCATTTTCTTCTCTTAATATGTGATTATCACATTGAATTGCAGTGGTTTTGTTCCCTTGTACCACACATAAAAACCACAATGCTGTTTTCTTCAGTAGTTGCTAATGAAGGTCTATTTGACACTTTAATACTTTCTTCCCTGAGTATTGGACCAAGCTGTAACAGAATTATAAAGCTCGGGCTATCAGAACAGAGAGCATCAGAACACTCAGGTTTTTGTCTTGAGAGCCATATGGCATTCCATCGGGATTCTGTTTGATGTTACTTTTGTCTTATCCCACTGGGCCCACCTCAGAGTGTTCAATAGCTGACTCTAAGGGTAGATTAAAATACTAGTCAAAATTAAATGGCAGGTGTGGAAAGGGAGGGGGCCTATAGGACATTATGAAATTTGTCCCTCCCAAAACCTTTCTCTGCAGAGGGCTAAGTACCACTGCTTTTCATGCAAACAGATGGCCAGGTAAGGAAAAAGCTTTTCTTTTTCCTTGTACTTGCTATACTAGGTTTGTAGACATACCTCAGTCCTCCTTTTTCATTAATGTTCATAGGGCTGAATTTCTTTCCAAGTTATTTGGTTTAGCAATATTGTTGCAATTGGTTCATCCAGCCGTTTTATATTGAAAAGGGCTACATAGACAGTGACCTTCTGTGAGTTGGCTGTTGGCTGAACTGATGAACAGCCCTGTTTGGTTCTGCCTCTCATGCCTGCCAGAGATTAAGAATACCTTGACCAATATGGAGGGAGACCCTTGTCTACCGTTCTGCATTCCTTCTTCTGTAAAAAAGACATAATAGGTTCAGAATGGAGTCACTCATGCTAAGCCCATGTCCCCAAACCAAGACTTAATACCTATCTTAATCACAGTTTCAACCTCTCCCAGGAATGGAAACTTAGGGCCAGTCAATCTGGAATTACCTGGTCATCAGTAGTGAGGTCATCTGTCTGATTGAACTCTGCCTTCCCCCAAGGAAGGTGACCTTGCCTGAAACAATCCACTCTTTGCTAGAAACTTTCTTGTCCTGCCTCCTTCTGCCTATAAATATCTTCCATTTTGTACAGCTCCTCAGAGCTCCTTTTTTTTTTTTTTTGAATTATTTATTTATTTGAGAGAGAAAGCATGGGAGGAGAGGCAAGAGAAACTCAAGCAGATTCCGCATGAGTGTGAAGCCCGATGAGGGGTGTGATTGCACATCCCTAAGATCAGGACTTGAGCCGAAACCAAGAGTCCATCACTCAACCAACTGAGCCACCCAGGCACCCCATCAGAGCTCCTTTTTTTCTTTTCTTTTCTTTTTTTTTTAAGATTTTTATTTATTTATTTGAGAGAGAGAGAGGATAAGCAGGCTCCCCGCTGAGCAGGGAGCCAGACATGGGGCTCCATCCCAGGACCCTGAGATCATGACCTGAGGCAAAGTCAGACCCTTAACCAACTGAGCCACCCAGGTGCCCCTCAGAATTCCTTATTTGCTAGATGGTATGTTACCTCATTCATGAATTGTTGAACAAAACCAATAAGATCTTTAAAATTTATTTGGTTGAATTTTGTTTTTAAACATTTCCAAACTAGTTTTTAACCTCAGGAAAGAATCCCTCTTATGTGGCTATTTAATATTTAATTGGCTACATAGTGTGACTGTGTAATAGTTGAAGGCCATGTTGCCCACTGTTTGAGGATGAAGGCTTGGAGTCAAACTGACCTAAATTCAAATTTCAGTTGTGCCACTTGCCACACATGGGACCTTGAGAAAGTTAACCTTTTTAATCATCACTTTTCTCATTGGTGAACTACATTTTGTTGGAAGGAATAATTCTTTTTTAATGTATAAAGTCCTTGCACAGGGCCTATAATACAAGGGGCATTCAATAACAATTCAATTCTTGTTATAATTACTAAAACTTCTTTTATACTTGCCAGCCACACAAAAATATGGCAAGTGCATGGGAACTGACTACTCTCTCCCGCTCCTCCCCCTGCCCTTGCCCTTGCCCCCGAACCCACTCTACTCCAGCCAAGCGCTCTTCCACCCACACTGCACTTGCTCAGCCCACCCACCACATTCGCATTGCTACATGCAGTGAGTTTTCAATCCTCATCTCAGGTGAGCGATCCGCAGCATCTGAAAGAGTTCACCTTGCATTCCCCTGACTTCTCTGCTCAGGGCTCAGCTCCCCAGCCCCTTCTCCATCCATAATCACTCCCCTGATGACCTTGTTCAGCCTCAGAGCTTGAATATCATGGATATGCTGCTGACTTCCCAACTATGTCCAGTCCACACCTCCCGCCTGAACACCAGACTTGTATATTCAACTGCCTGCTTGACCTCTGTATGGCTGTCTTAAATGCCACCTTAAACTTGGAATGTCTACAACTGAACTCTGGGTGCCTAGGGGGCTCAGTCGTTAAGTGCGTCTGCCTTTGGCTCAGGTCATATCTCAGGGTCCTGGGATCGAGCCCCACCTCCATTGGGCTCCTTGCTCAGCGGGGAGCCTGCTTATCCTCTCCCTCTCCCCCTGCCGCTCTCCAGCTCTCTCTCTGTCAAATAAATAAATCAAATCCTTAAAAAAAAAAACAACTAACGCATATTTATATCTTGTGAAGTAAAATCTGCAAACAAATCCTTGACATCTTTGATATCAATAACAAAACAAAAAAGGGGCACCTGGGTGGCTCAGTCAGTTAAGCATCTGCCTTCGGCTCAGGTCATCGGGCTCCCTGTTCAGTGGGGAGCCTGCTTCTCCCTCTCCCTCTGCCACTCTCTTGCGTTCTCTCTCTCTCTCTCTCAAATAAACAAACAAACAAACAAATAAATAAATAGATAGATAGATAAATAAATAAAATCTTTAAACAAAACCCAAAACCCTCCCTGGTCTTTCCACACATCTGTTTCTCTCACAGCCTTCCCCATTTCAGTAAATGAGAACTTCATGATTTAGTTGCTCACCTAAAAGCTTTGCAGTCATCCTTGACTCCTCTCCTCCTTTCTCACACCCATATGCAAACCATCAAGAAATCCTACTGACCCCACCTTCAACATCTATCTAGAATTAACAACTTATCAGGACCGTCTCCCTTTGTCTCTCTGGCTTCCCTGACATTTCACCTTGATTATTGTTGGAGATTCTTAACCAGTCTTCTTGCTTCTACAGTTGCACCTCCAGACTATTCTCAAAAAGTAGCCAACATGAGATGATAATGTAATCCACATCCTGTCACTCTTCTCCTCAAAACTCTCCCATGGCTTCCGACCTCACATGGAGTAAAAACCAGACAGGCCTGGCACAACCCAGCAGCATCTTCTATACCCTCTGCATTGTCCTCTCTGCTCCAGCCACACCACCCTCCTTGCTTTTCTTTGAACATGCTAGACACACTCTCACATCAGGGTTTTTGTACTTGTTTCCCTCCCAGAATGCTCCACATGGATATCCACATATCAGTCTCTCATCTCCTTCAAGTCTTTGTTCAAATGCACGTTGTCGGTGTGGTTCTTCTGACCAACCTAGTTAAATTTACAGTCTCCCTTTGCTTTGTACCTTTGGTCCCTTCTTGCTTTAGTTTTCTTCATAGTACTTCCACCATCTGGTTTCTTATATATTTTACTTGTTCCTTTTATTTCTTTTCTCTCTTCTCCACATAAATGTAGTCCATAATATTG